AAAATAATTGTCCTCATAAAAATACAATAAATCATCCTCAGCCATCGACCTGAGCCATTCTCATAATTTTATTTGCGATGAGCCAATCGACCGTGCGACGACCTACTTTTTACGGTCCTCATCCTCCAATATTTCGTAGTCATCGTCAAACTGGCGTAAAATAATTTTTAGTTGCTCTCTTGGTCGTTACAATCGACGATGTTGTCCATCGTGACGACATCAGAGGAACAAATGAACAAACGGCATCGGAAGTAGAACGGGGGATGCTACGACGATGTCGGCGTGGGCGGCGGTCGAACCGAGGGGTTGAAACGCGGGAAAGTCCCTCGGGTCCCAATTACACCGACACCCGATCCCAGCATTACAGCCCGGCTAATTCGAGGGGAGAGTCGTATATAAATCTCGGCGAGTTGATTGTGCAGTTTCAATTCCGTTTGTCGCTCGACGACGCCGGAGATAACACGTCGGCAGGTCGTTACAGTTACTTTTTCACCGGAGAGATTAATTCCGTATCAGAATCGCGCGACGCGACGCGACGCCTCGTTCGATCGAGCGTGTCCCATAACTGTAATCGGATACGATTGAGCGTAATGTTTGTCATTAAAGATAACTACCTCGCGTCGAATGCGTTACCGATGAATTACTGAGAAAACGTTTTTGTCTACGAAATAACCATGCTACGTACGCCCGTAATTTCTTTACGACTGTTTCAATGGATATAAGTTTTGTTTCTCATTTATTCTCAAAGTGTCAGAGACAAGCGAATCGATAAACATGGCTTAGTAACGTGATATGATTGATGGAACATCACGCGGAATCTTTTCTTTGCTCAGAAAATCTCACGGCACAACTTAAAGTTAGTTAACAACGCTCCTCGCAGATTGCCGCGAAAAGGGATGTAGGAGGAGGGCTTGAAAGGGGTGTTTCTCTCGACGGGGCTCGCGACAAACGGCTCGGTTAATTACAGAGAGGCCACAGCTCCATGTAAACCGGCGGCAAAGGCAGCTGTCGGTTCCCAGGCTACCGTGGTTTCGATGGTTTACGTGTGTCGAGAGCTTTTTTGTTTTTGCGTGAAAATGTCGTCGTTCGTTAATTCGATGGTACGATATGTGCCCGACCAGAATATCCGCCAGTGGATCAGTTCCAGAAGCCATCGCGTGTTTCTTTCCATCGTGTTTATTATCCTTTCGTCCGTTCGCACGTATCGTTTCAATACTAATATTAATATTAGCACGAGCAGATAAGTACCAAGCCAAGTGTACTTGCCCAGTTCCGTAAGAATCTGAATGTAAAGTTTAAATGTGATCTTCCGCGTTTGCGTAAGCGCCAGAAAAACGTGGGAAACGCACTTCGTAAGCATCGATACGATATTTCCTCATATGGTTCAGTTACATAGAAAAAAAGATAAAACAATGACGCCTTTCTTGTTTCTGCGTTTTAAATTCTACGATATTTAAGCACAGTTAAGTATTCGTATATCATTACGTTATAAGCACTTATATAAAACTTTCAAGTGTTCAATGAACGGTAATTTAAGCATTTAAATTATAATTCTAATAATTGGAGTATTCTTTTTAGCTAAACTTTTTGCACGGTTCATCTCCTTTTCTATTTTTTTTTTCTTTTCACATTGGAGAGAAAAAAAGAGGAAAATGAACTGCGCAAGAAGTTTATCTAAAAAGAACAGATTTAATCATTCTAATGTTTTTCAGAAGATTGATAATAATCGGAAATGAGTTCCAACGTGGAGGTCGTTGCTCTTTCGTCTATTCCATTCAGAATTACGAGACGTTATGCATTCACCAGCTGCGAAAGGTCATCTTATTGTTCGCCGTCGACAAAGTCGCGCATCCAACTGGCAATTCCCTCGCCGTCACGATACTACCGAGGAAGGAAGCCGGATTTCTCGCAACCCCTGCTAAGATAATACGACCACCCACCCGGCGGGAGGTCGAAGATTTCAACCTTTACCAAAATGCCAAACGGGGCTTTAAACGGGCTAATAACGGTGCCTTTCCCTTCAACACTCTGCTGTCGTATCGTATATATGATTTCGATTCTGTCGCACAAATTGCCTGTAAAAGTATATATAGCGAAGCCTCCTTCATCACTTGTCACTCGTCTCTCGTAATAACGTCGTAATGACGAGAATTGACGACACATTCCCAGGGAATAGCAATTTGTTTTTATCGACATTAACGTTCCTAATTAACATTGTACACTTTGTCGCGTATTTTTAAACTCGTTAAACGTTTTTATTATTGGCGCTCGGAGACTTACCTGACAATCCCGAGCGAATGCGCGCGCGTGGGCTGCTGTCTTGGTATTTTAAACCCCGGATGGCTTGGCAAGGAAGGTTCGCGCACGTGTGCATCGTGCGCTGTTCTGCGGGAAAAAGGGGTTTGCAACAGTGGGGTACTCGATCGGAAAAACTGCCGACGGATATGCCCTCGTTAAAGCGCACCGAGGTCGTCGTCGTTGTCCTCGCCGTCGTCGCCGGCGAACAGTAAAGGTTGACACGGTATCTCTTACAAGACGGTCATTAGTCGAATGAGAGGAGGAAGTCTTATGAAGTGCCTGCGTAAATATCTGTGGGACTGGCCGGTCATCAATCATCTTAGAATCCTGCGAGCCGCGAGCTCGCTGTGCACGAAATTACGTATCGCCTTACGTCTCGCGACGCCACGAGACCCGCCCTGAGCAGAGGGACGAAATTACATAGAGGGTTTCTCTTAACGAACTATTATTTTTTACGAAAGGAATTTTTCCGTCTCCCGAGTCTCGGCGTAATTTTGTGGGGATAATACATCCTGGTGACGTATTCTCCAAAAATCGCATACCTACAAAATATGTATATTACAGATTTCCCTAGTATTTTCTTTCAAAAACCTTTTCACATACAAAACATTTATAATAGTACATAATACAAAAAATATATACGATATTTTTTTAAGAATTTGGCTTCGTATATTATATACGTACACTTGTCGCTATGAAAATGTAGAGAGATGAGCAAAAGAAATTTTCTTCGAAACCATTTCGAGAGGGAGAATTTTTTCATCTAAATATTATTAAAATATAAATCAATAATAATACACGGAGATCTCACGTCACACTGCCATTTAAGTGATAACGTAATGTTGCACGCGTGCGGAATACACGAGCGAAATACACATATATCGTTCACACGGATAAAGTTATCGATAGGCCGCACAATGCGGGCAGACTATTTACTATATTTGCGATATCATAGGGCGAGTAATGGTTTCGCTTGACGTTACGGTCGGAAGAACGAAGTAGCAGGGGATAGAAGATGACGCGAGAGGGAGAAAGAAAGAGAGACAGGGTGGATAGGATATTCCGTGAGACTGGCTGTCATATTCATGTATTGACACCGAGCTGGTTGACTAATGGACTGCTGTTGTCACAGGCTCGTGTTACCGCGAGGGCCTGGCCTCGCCGAGTCGTTTTTCCTGAGAATCGACTGAAACGCATTCGCGTCTATAACATTCGTCTCGTGTTTATCGAAAATTCAGTCTTGTACGAATTGTGAGTCATTTCGAACAGTAATCGTAAAACATCGTAAGGAATCTCATGTCAAATATGTTAATTCGGATCTCTTCCCCCCCCCCCTGAAAAGGCCTCTAAAAAAAAAAATTTTATATCATGTGCGTTTCACTGAACAATATTTTAACTGCACCATTTTTCTGAGGCATATGGTTACGCCAGTTACCAAAAGACTATTTCACTCGTTATTCTTGAATAGAATAGCACGTCGCGTTTCGTAAAGCCGCGAATGGCGTGGCCGTTCTTCCCGACTTTTACATATTTATCGAGCCTCGCATTGTTGTCACGTCAGACGAGAGACGTCGACATTGTCGAGCCTCGAAAATCCGCGATATTATATCTGCAAGCTGGAACCGAAGATCCAGTTCTGATCCCCGCTACGCTACCTTCCCTCTCTTTCTCTTTCTCTCTCTCTCCCCCTCCCCCCCCCAGTTTGCGTACTTTTATGACGTCATTCTAAATCCATACGTATTTAACGCGAGGAAAATCGGAGAAAATGAAAAATGAGTGATCAAAATTTTCGATTAAAACGACAGCAATTTCACAGTATAATGCACACTCTCATCTTATGTCAGCTTTTGATTTACGCGAATTCGAATTTACATGGTGGATTACAGGTAACGCATTAATCGCGTAAATTGAGAGTTATCTGTATATCCCTCTCACCTGTCCGTTCGATATTTCATCGAGCTCAATAACATATTCAGCTTTTATAATAAATGGCACTCGCGAAATTTTCGTTTTTGTTGATGTACTTGTTCGGGATTACACGTTACAGAATTACAGAGAAATAAATGAATGAATGGGAAATTGCATATATCCGATAGAACTTCGACGAAAAGGTCAAGAATAGTAGCATGGAATTAAGACTAACCCATGGAGGGTTATAAGAAAAAAATGGATAACGACAACGATAACTATTTTATAACCATTTTTGATATTTGATATGAATTCGGTTAGGCAATCGCGAAACTTGGCCTGATCCCTGTCTTCCATTAGACGCGAAAACGCCTAGAAGATGTCGAGTCAGGGGCGAGTTTAAAGTGGGTGAAGAAAATGTTATGGAGAACGCGAGTTAAGGCGAGAGACCCCCAACGTGGAATAATACGATACGCAGGAATCGACGGACGCACGGACGCGAGACTTTATGGCGCGGTGCCTCTATGGCTTCTTGATTTATCGGCGAGTTAAGCTTCGGCTTCGAGAACCTGCTCGAGGCGCTCGATGCACGTCCGTGAGATTACCGTGTGTCGCGGATCGCGCGTTCTCGGCCTTTTAATGCATTGCTTGTCGGCCAAGTCAATTTTCTGCGGAGCGGATTGGGTGCCACTTGTAAACTTGAGTAAGCCGACCGTCTCGATTCGATGCTTCGTAGAAGGACACACCTCCTCTCGCGATCTCAACCAGGTAAACTCTTGTACTCTTGTACTCACCTCGCACCTTCTGCTCGTCTTGTAGCTGCCGCTCCAGACTGTCCTTGACCTCCCGCTCCCGGAGAACGTCCATTTTCAGCTCGGCTGTAACACACATAAGATAATGGAAATTTATTTAAACGTTCTTGTGCACTCCCCCAAAGAATGTGAACCACCTCGGGATACGAAGGATACGAAGGATACGACTGTTCATTCAGTTCTGACTCAAGTTCTCGCTTCCCCTATCATATCGTTAGTTTTAATTGCTCGATTACCTAGTTCGCACAAGAATGCTTGAGACAACCGAGTGTCTCCATTCTTCATGAATAATTACTAGAAATTGTCTCATCTTCTCGAAAAGACTTCATCAAGGAAAATTAAGTTTTCGACCGTAAATTCTGAAAGTGCGAAGGATTTGTAAATCAACTATAGTCAGTGGTTAATTTGACAATAAGAGTCTCTCCCAGCCTTCTCTTCTCTATCCACCTGCCATCGTCCAAGAGGTGCTGCGGGGAGGATATCGCACGGTTGACTGAGTTCGTGATTAAATCCAATGGCGATGGGCAGACCAGAGCTCGCATAGTTACCTCTAATAGAATTATATTAAGACATGGAGTCTCTATCCCCCGCCTGGTCTTCCCGCTTCCACCTGCTTAGCCCATGTTTCTTGTCTCGCGTACGACTTCCCTCCTCATCCCGTTCTCCCTATCACCGTCTCCGACTTGTAGAACTCCCCCGTTCCCGTGGGAGCCACCGCGCTAAATTAGCCATTTCGAATCTCTGCTAGAGGGTCGTTAGGACGAGTCCAGAAACTCGTTGAACGGTACTAAGAAACCCATGTGCGCCATACGGTGACCAGTTTTCAGTCACTCTCGTCGCGAAACGTGACATGCTAAGGTAAGTGTAAGCATATAAATGAGAAAATTAAAGAACACGTGAATGTGTAAATGACAGCCCCGAATTATAGAGCTTTGAAAAAATTCTATCCTCTTAAAGTTTAGAGGGTCACAAAATCATTTTTGAGACTGATAATATGGTAAAACATTTCCGGGCTCTAACTCAAGCAAGCTAATTCGATTTAACGGAAGAAAAGTAAGGCGGCGGAAGAGACTCCCTTCTTTCTCTTTCCTCTGACTCGCCGGCCTCTCGAATTACATTGGTGGGCAATGAACCACGTAGCTCGTAACGCACGTCAGTTTGCCGAACTGTTTGCAGATTTTTCGCTATGCTGTTAACAAGAAATTGTACGTTGTAGAATGTTGTTAATTAAATAAATAAAATTGTACATAAATTTGAGATATTAAGCTCACACATATTAATTCTAAAGAAAGGAACTTACTCTTTGAAATTTTTTGATTGAGTCAATGTTGAAAAAGAGAGGTTCAATTGTTAAGAGTGAAATTTCGTTAGATCCCACTCCAAAGATTTTAGAGAATACAAAAGAAGAAACGCGTTCAATAACATTTTCATTTATCTCGTTCCTGTATTCATTTTTCGCGTGTGGCGTTTTCATACCTCATCGGGGAAGTATAATAAAATTCGAAACAACATTTAATTCACTTATCGCATTTCGCAAGCTTTTAAAAGACTCTTTTGCAGACTCGTGTATACGCTACCGTCGCATTAGCAGCAATTATTTTCCGACCTGGGTTCTCGTGGAGAATCCAAAAAGTTTCGCGACATACGTACAGGTTGAAGCAGCGAGGAGAGAAAGAGAGAAAGAGAGAGAAAGAGAGATATGAAGCCTGACAGAGAATCAAGCCGGTAGATTAGGTAGGGCCGCGTCGTCTCAGCAGTCTGCCAGCAATTTGAGAGCGTTTGCGAGGTCCATTAACGGCGGTAACTCTTCACGACCGGCCGCCACGAAGATTCAATTTGAATGCTAACCAGAATAGGAAGTTCGCGCCGGGGCCCCATGGTATATACGCGCGCTGTGTTCTCTCTCTCCCCCTCTCGTCCCTCTTAGCCCCCCGTTATCCCCTCGCCACCCTGTTATTGCCAATTTCGGCGCGTTTCTGCAGCCCACTTTGCGATCGTTTAGATTATCATCTCTCCCGGTTTCTCTTTCTCTCGACGGCCCTGGGTACCCTCCGCCCCGCCCTGTTACCCCCTTTCCCATATCTTCTACATTCTGCTATCCCGCTCCCACCCCCGGTCCGCTCTCTCTCGAACGTTTCCGGGGATAATTGAACTTTATTAGAGATCGTCGTCGACGAAACACCAGCCCTTGCATCCACCCCGAGGCTTATTCCGGATCGACTTGATTCTGAGATGCTTTAACGATTACTCCGTTCACTCGCTTATCTTTCTTTCACTCGCGAAAACGCCTCTCAAATCTATGCCGCGACGAATATCTCGAGAGTACATCGGCTCCCGTTTCTCCGATCGTCGCGTGTTACGCTTCGTGAATGATTTCATGTTCATACAAAACTATGTAAAATGAATTTTTTAACAAAACTATCTTTCGCGATTGATACATGTATAACACAACCTGCCTAAAAGCATATTCGTGTTCAATGTCGCTACACACGCATCGCATCGTCCGAATTATTCTTTGCCTAGAGGCAGATGCTACGTCATGTGCGAAATACCTTTTCTCAGATCTTGCGTTCTTTTTACGGGCGCATAGTGGCGTGAGTTTCGCCGAGGGACGACTGGAAAAGTTTGTCGCGTTGGAAAAAACTGGAAATCAATTATGCGAGCCCGGCGCTCCTCACCGTGAGGGAGAAGCAACCTTATTGAAATTTGGCTGCGGGGTCGTAAGCATTAAAATTGCAGGGATTAATATTAGCCGTGGTGAAAAGCGCTTTACTCGCTTTCTTCGTAAGGAAATGATTCCACCGCGCCGCGCCGCTCCGTTCGGTTATAAAAGCCCAGGCCCGTTCTATCATTCTTATGTCAATTAGACGAGCCCTAATCGCGACCCGGCTCATAAACCGAGAATTATATCTTTAATTTTAGCGGTCGTATTCAGCCGCTTGCGAAACAGGATTTTGCCCTACGCGCTTCCTTCACCGCTACGGGCGAGACCGCTTTAACCACGACAGATAGGTGGTAATTAATGACGAGAGACTGTACGTCGGTCAATTTCGTTACCGAATCTGACGTCTAAGAGAAATATAAACAGCGACTGAATTATATACGATATATTTTATTTACATTAATATTACATTTTTGTATTAGGTGTTGGAATTAATTCGTAGCGTTTTTAAAGTGATGAGAAGTACTTTCATTAATGTATTTTTTAATGCTCATGTGAAATAAATAACATTCTTTCATTAAAAACGCTACGAATTAATTCCAACACCTAATACATAGAAAAAAATGATGTATTAACAGCATTGGCCAACAACAGCCTAATTTTGAAAATAATGTTGTTAATTCAACGATCTTGTCAATTCAAAAAGTATCGATGGAACACATAACATTTTAGTAGAACAAGAGCATGGTGAATTTTTTTAATACTCTCATTGACAGTAAGATTATTTTCAATTAGACTGTTGTCGGCCAACGCTGTTAATACATAATTTTTAGTATACGGAAAATGCTAAATCATTTTTCTTAAGTAAATCTTCTTTCGGAAGATCCTCAGTGATAAATATTATATAAAAACATACCGTATACCGTATAAAAAAAATGAAAAATATGAAAGGAATAGAAAGTGTAATTAATATTTGACAAATTATTTCAATGTCATTTTAGATCTTTTCGTAATGAAATAATTAAGTCGCTTTTAGTCGCTTACGCTTTTATGTATACATATTCATATGCATTTCTCGACTATGGTGTTCAGTAGTGTTAGTAGCGGATACATTTCCGAGAGCCGCGCTCATCACGATTTACGAGTTTCTCACCGGACGGCGAACGATATCGCGAGCGGGCTCAAGCGGACCTAGGATCGTTGGCGATAATAATTTTCACGGTGGCGCGAGCACTCGCATAGTAACAATAACGGTGCAACGGAACGTGCATGGCACTGTTACCGGAGCGATTCATGGTTATTGATTACTATATATATACGGTCGCAGGAAGACGAGAGAGGCTGTGGTATAGCGTTCACAGCCCCCGAGGGCTTGTACCACGACATGGTGTACACACAGGCACGCACAAGCGAAGATATTATGTGTGTGCATACATATAAATATACACGTACACACGTATCCACGGCAAATGTATATATCTCTACGTAGTTGCGTACACTCGACGCTAAGATATTCGCCGGGCCCTAAGGCGACCCTCAGAAACAACAATGTCAACTTGCCCGGCGTGGCCCGCAATCGTTTGAATAGTATAATGTAGTTTTCGTGTTACAACTCACTCTCTCCTTCGTATACAAGCCTCGTCTAGCGCCTACGAAACATCAGCCTTTTCTTTTCGTGACCCGTTCGAAATGTCTAACATCGGGATCGTTGCGATACTTTCGTGGGTGAATGAAATATTTACGAACGACAAGACGAGAAGGAAACCCGGGGGTCTCGAGACCGCACGCGAGATCGGCGGGTATTTATGAATTTAATTTTAACGGATCAAGAGCGGTAATAAAGCGCGGGCAGGAATTAACCGCCGGATTATTTCGGTAATTTACAGCCTCGGGGATCGCGCGTCTGGCATTCTCTTATTTGCATCGTCATACCCATCGTGGTACGGTTTCGCGTGGTAATCTTCCGCGATTCTTCTGAGGAAAGAAGAAAGTTTCCCCTCGAAAAGTTTCCTTAAAATGTCTTTTTCTTACGTGCATCTTAATTAGCGAGCTCTCGCATCTCGATTGCTGTCGTTTCGTGTTTCTCAAAGGGATCCAATGCCCGTCGACGGGTAACAGCGAACTCGAATTTCATAAATTTCGCACCCTAATCCTCATTAATCTCGATGTTGCACTATTTGCCTACGAGAAGATCCGCCGCAAGATGCGGGGCGCCGCGGGGGTGTTTCTACCCTTGCATATTACAGCCGAATAATAATTAAGTATATATCCCGAGTTAGTTCTGTCCTCCGGGTATAAGTCCTTTGGCGGGAGATACCTTCCGCTGAATTTCAATTGTCGACCAATGTTAACGACATCTCCATATCCTTCGCGATCTCTCGAAGAATATTATAATCAAAACAGA